ACAGGAAATGAACTGGAGATGTGCCATCATTGCTCCCTCCCTCAACAGGTCCAGAAGGAAAGGGCCTGGGTTTCACACAGGTACAAAGGAATGGTGTGACCTAGGAGGTGGGGACATTGGCAAGGAGAGGGGAGGTTCACTCCCTGAGCTGAGTCCCGCCTAGCCCTGGCATCCTGAGTCCTATGGAATCTGGAATATGACTTGCTGAAACATTCCGAGGCTGGGTTTCCATCTCCTGTTTGACTCTGCCCACATTAGCATTCTAGGAGGACCATGCGCTCTGCTGCCTGATGGGCAGAATGTCCTGGTTCTGGGGCTGCTGGACAGGGGAGGAGCCCTCCTTCCTAGGGTGCTGTCTTCTGCCATTTTCTTCTCTCTTCACTGCCAGGGACTTGAGTCATCAGACACAAGCTGTTCCCTTCTCTTGGCTTGTACTGTAGCTTTTTTATTTCAGTTCTTTGGCGGGGGGCACAATCTACAGTACCTGTGGGGCCTCTTGCTTAGCTATGACAGAGCATCATATTAACCCAGGTACTGGTTTTCTTCTCCTGAGGCTTGTGTCTCATTGAATCATTCCGCTTCCACATTTTACAAACATAAAAACTGCGAGCCAGGAGTGTGAGCCATTGAAGGGGCAGAAAGTGTCAACGGGGATTCCAGCGTTTCATTAACAGTCTCAGAACCAGAGAACATTATACCCTCAGCACCGCCTGGCCGTTTCATCCAACCCTCGGGTTAACAAAATGTGTCTCTTCAAATGGTTGTATGCCAAATAGTTTGTGCTGACTCTGTTTATTTGTATGCAAGTTTTTTGGAGGGGTAGAGGGCTCCCCAGACTTGGCGTGCTGAGTGGTGGAGACAGTAGGTGGTGGGAGAAGTCCCAGGAGGACAAGTCTGGGGTCGTGGAGGTCTTCCAGGAAGAAGGTGTCTTGTACATAAGGATGGGGGGGAGGGGAGGGCAGTGCTATAGGCTGAGCGACAACTCAGAGCTGTGGAGGTGGGAGTGACTCATAGCTTCCCCTGGAGGCTGGCAGAGAGTTACTTGCAAAGTCATATGAAAAGACTTTAAGGCCAAGATCAAGAGGTTTGGCCTAATTTTTATGGAGTGGGGGCCTCTGGTGATCTTGGGCCCTCTTCCATCACCTTGGGCTCCTTCTGTCACCTTGACCTGTTAACTTAATGACCAGCAACTCGTCACCATCCTCTAGGACAGAGTAGAACTGCCCTAGAGGGTCTCCTTGTAAACTTTGCAGTTAAAGACTATCGTGTTTTTTCTCCTGGGGAGCGGCCAGCGGATTTGAACTGCTGACCTTTTGATCGGCAGCTAAGTGCTCAGCCGTTGTGGCAGTAGGATTCCTTGTCTCCTCAGCCAGTTCTTTCTAATTTCTCACCTCGAATCCACCAAGCTGCTCCGCAAGAGAAAGATGGTTCGTCTCCTCCCGTCAGGATTGCCCACCTCGGAAGCCAGATGCAGGGTCGCCATGAATCAGAAGCAGCTGGACCAGCAGTGGGTTCGGTTTAACTCGTCTCCTTGCTTCTAATTTTCTCCCTTCCCAGCCGCATACTCTGTGTAGACCCCCTACCCAGGAGCTTCCTAATATACAAATTTGATTGTGTGTTTCTCCCCTTTTAAAAGCCCTTCCTAGTCCCCTGTGACCCTCTAGACAGGGCTCTGGTTTCTGTGACTTCATGGTGCATCCATCTCACCAAGCCCCTTCGTTTCCTGGCCAGTCTGCTGTTGAATAACTACTCACTGCCTTTGCCGGCCCTCTCCTTCCCTCCCACCTTCCTTCTCTGCTTGGTAAAAACTATCCATCCCTGAAGACCCAGTGCAGATTCCTTGTTGAGAGGAACCTTCCTCGGTCCTTCACAGGCGGCGCTGCGTGTTGAATGTGCTGAAGCTCACAGTGTGTTGTGTTTACCTACCCCATGTTTGAATGTTTCTCCCACAATGGGCACTGACTTAAACCCTGTGTACACATCATCCCGTGTTACTCTCGCAGCAGCCGTTTGAGATGCATTCTTTTAGAGCCCCCACTTACAGATGGGGAAGCTGAGGCTCAGGGAAGTCATGGGACTTGCTGAGGCCGGCAGCTGGAGCTAAGATTTGAATGCAGATCTGTTTGGCTGTACACGGTACCTGTCTGTCTCCAGCTTTCTGGCTCCAAGGGCCTATAATAGGCTTTCAAAGATCTGGGTATGTGAGGGACCAAACAAAGGGGCATGTGGGCTGGATGGGGACATGGTTGAAGGCTGTAGGGACGAGGGACTGGCTCCATGCAGTAAGGAGGTGATGAGAGTCTTTCAGCCCAGCTCCCTACAGCTAAAGGTTTCCTTTCCACCTTCTATTCCAAGTGGCCACTGGGGGACAGGCCTGTGGGACTCCAGGCAGAGCAGGTGGCATGGTGACAATTGCCATGGCAGCCTGCCCCCTCCCTGGAGGAGCGGGGGAATCTGAGGGAGCGCAGGGCACACACCCAGCCTGCTGAATTGGGATCCTGGAGAGGTGCCTCACTTTGTGCCTTCTGCCCTCCCACAGGGGACCCTGCCTGCTGAGGTCCCCTCCCAGCAGGGGAAATGCCATTTCCACCTCCATCCCAAATGAATGGCTGTCTGTGGCCTCCTGGGAGAGTACTGGTTCCATCCAGGTACAAATGCCACCCCCTTCCCACCCCTGAGCCAGGGAGGAAGGAAGCAAGCGTGTCAAGAGAACAGCAGGGAGCTCGGGAGGAGGGGGAGCTGGGGTTGCCAGGCAAGGTAGCAGCAGGGACGTCAGCGACAAAGTCCTCATTGTGCCCTGGCCACACACCACTCTAAGGCAAATCGGGAATCTTGCCCACCTTCCAGGACCCAGACCTTGAACCCCACCTGGGCTTCCCTGACTCCTTAAGCAACACTCATGCACGCTGGCTTGGAGGCGAGAGACCTACTTCTACCTTAGACCCTGCCTCTGCTCAGAAGGCCCCCAAAGCCAGCAGAGAGAGGGCTGGAGCTGGGCTGACCTGGCTGAGAAGCCAGGGTCCCTAGACCTGCAGAGGTGTGTGTGTTCTTGGGACCAAATGTAATAACACAGCCTGTCCTGAAGGACTGTGACTAACGGGGTAATGTGCACAGACCACATGGCATGGCCACCTGGCTACAGAACCAGTGACCAGTGTCTTGCTCACAGTGTCTGTCATACTGACCCACACATGCACACAGCCCGGCAGAGAGGGTCTGCAAAGTGACACACACACACACCCCAGGTCATCTCCCAACCCCTGTCCCACAGATCTTCCTTGGGGGGCTGTCCCTAAGGTTTCAGGCGCCCCTGACTGGATGACTAGGGCATGACGGGTAGGAAGTGGCACTAAGCTGGGGCGAGCAGCTCAGGTGACGGGTGCGGTGTCAGTAGCTCCTGGGACCTGGCACCCAACACCCCCACATAGACAATGCTGGCTGTGTCCAAGCCCTCCCGGGGAACAGGCCATGTTCTGTGTCACAGCCAGGAAACAGGCCACCTGAGTAGCTGCCTTTGTGCTCTCAGGAGGCAGCCTCGCCACTGGCCAGGATGACCCAACTCCTTGGAGGCCCTGACATGGGAAGCTGGTGGTTCCCCAGCCTTGGGGACCCCAGGGCTTGAGGTCTGGCTCCTCAGTGGTTAGTTGGCCCCATTCAGATGTTGACCCTGCCACACACAGGTGGGTGGGTGGTGACTTGGGCAAGTCCCTTCCCTTTTAGAGTCTCGGCTTCCCCATCTGTAAAATGGGACTAATCAGAATGCTTCCTCATAGGGTTGTTGGGAGGCTTCAGTGACATAATGTACGTAATCTGCTTGGCCTAGGGTCTGTGCAGTGGTGCTGGGCGAAGCTGCTTTCTCTCTGGGCAGGGGGGAGGGCTGCAGACGGAGCCCCTGGCTGTGCCTCTTCTCCTGTCAAGCAAGCTCCTGCTCTCAGTCCTAGGTCTGAGCATGTTAGAGGGGGCTGGAGTCCCTGGAGCTGGCACAGGGCCAGCATGCTGACTCTAGAGAACCCAGACCGCTCCATCATGGGCTCAGGGTCCCCTGGGCTGAGGCCAGGGCAAAGCCCCTCCCCACAACAGCCAGAACTCAGGCCAGCCTGGAGTCTGTCCCCTTCTTCAGCCCACTAGATCTCCCTTTGAGCCCATCCCCTGAGACAGAAAAGGGGCCTGAGCGCTCCTGCATCTGCCCACCCACCTCCCAAAGCACCTAGACATTTCCTACAGGGTCTGGTCCACCAGGAAACCTGGGGAGACCCATGATCATCCTCCCAGCCCTCATCTGCCTTGAGCCCGGGTCCCTAAGTCTGCAGTGGCCGACGTAGCATGTGCACGGCATGGAAGGGTGTGCGCCTGCCTGTGAGGGTCTAGCTGCATGGGACACACCCAGGTGTGTGGCATGTCACTGAGATGTGAGGGCACGTTGGCATGGCAGGGACATTGTACCTTTTCGTGTCCATGTGTATCCACGTCTATCTACACGTGTGCTGGTCTGTTGGTCTGTCTTGTCTCCCCCTGTAGACAGGAACCCCGGAGCCATGCACCAACTGGCGCTCTGGGAAGGTGACGGTCGACGAGACTAGCCCACCCTACCCTGGGGTTCCTAGTGAGAATCCAGGAGGCCTCCAGCCTACACCACTCACCAGAGAGGAGGGACTGACCAGCGCCGGGGTGGGGGCCGAGTGGCAGGGGCCCAGAACGAGAGGCCAGGCCACCTCCTAGCGTAGAGAACTCTACTGAGCTGGCGAACACCTGACACCCAGGTGACCTTGTGCAAGGCCTTCAGCCTCCACTCTCTGGGCCCCAGCGACACCTCTGGAGGACATGGGCTTGGACTGATTGATGACCCTCAGCCACTCCGGAGGTGCTTGCCGTCGGGGAGTCTAAAGCAGGTGGCCCAAGCCTGTGCCACAGACCCACTGAATTCTGTGGTGGTGACAGCTGTGGCCTGAAACGGCCTGCTAGTTCCTGGGTGTCCCAGCTGAAGGGAGAGAGGAGAAGCCATGCCGGGCAGCGGCCCCAGCGAGAGGATGACCTGGCCCAGCCCAGCCCTCCCCGCGGCCCCCCCAACCCGCCCTCTCTCCTCAGCCCCCGGGACACCGCCCATCCCGCCCCTCACTCGGACCCGCAGCCTCATGGCCATGTCCCTGTCGGGGAGCAGACGGACCACCGCCGCATCTCGAAGGTGAGTCTCCCCCTTGCCCAGAGCTTTGCCTACGGGTGTGCTGGGGCGAGCTGCTGTCCCACTGTGCCACAGACATGCGCTGTGCCTTTGAGCAAGATGTCACCCCCACCCAGTGTTTAGAATAGGCTTGACAGCACCTGCCTCCTCCTAGAGCTCTGGTGGCCTAAGTGGTAAGGAGTTGCACTGCCCACCCAAAGGCACGCGGTTCGAATTCACCAGTCGCTCTGCAGGGGGAAGATGGGCCATCTCCTCCTGAGTTACTGCCTCTGAAAACCCGCTGGAGGGCCAGTGATGATCAACTCAGTGGCCAGGAGTTGCATTATTGAAGCTCCTTAAGCGTTCTCATGATACAGGGGAGAGTGGGACTTCTCTGAGGGCCTAATTACTGCCCTCATCAAAGATGTTTCAATCTGCATAATGACGGGGGAAGCCACACAGTCGTCACCAGGCTGTAGCCTCCCTTAGCCCTCATCCCCGTGGCCCCCACTCCTGTCTGTCGCTTGCTTTCCCGCCTGTCCCTCCTGCTCCTGAGGGTGCTCTGACATAGCTGTGCCTGGGGGACCCCTAGAAGGTGAAGCTCCCGCCCCCATTTTTTGCCCCTAGGGGACCAGCGGGGACCAGCTTCTTGCGGCTTTTTGATTTGCATCGTCTGTTCTGTCGCCCTGTCTGTGCACCCCCCCCCCCGCTCTCCTGCTGCTTCTCACCCCCTGCGCTGACCCTGAAGTGGGGGACCGCTGGGCCACACCGGACTGGCGGTGTTCGCCCAGTGTCCGCAGCCGCCCCCCGACCAGAATGAGCACCTGCCTCTTCTCCCCGCCTCCAGGCGCACCTCTCCGCCCATGAGCGTGCGGGACGCCTATGGCACCTCTTCCCTTAGCAGCAGCAGCAACTCTGGCTCCTACAAGGGCAGCGACAGCAGCCCCACCCCAAGGTAATAAGCCCGCCCCGCGGGGTGGGGAGGCACGAGCGGCCCCTCCTCTCCTGCGGACGTGGGGCCGGAGCTGCAGCCCCCACCTTCTCCTCCGGAGTGCGGAGCTCACACACGTGGGCTTCCCCAGCCAACACGGGGCCTCCGGTGGCTTAGCGGTAAAGAAGTTGTGCCGCCAACCCCAAAACAGGCAGTTTGAGTCCACCAACTGCCCTGAGGGAGAAAGACAGGCGGCTTCTTCCCATGCAGTTTACAGCCTCTGGAAACCCAAGGAGAGTCAGCCAGTGAGCCTGTTCCAACTCCACATAACGTAACAGCAGGAAATATTAACCAGCTCCCACCCAGCTTTTAAAATTGTTGCCATCTTAACTGATTCCACAAGTGGGCCTCCCAGGGTGTGGCTTTTCCAGGCCCATAAAAATCCATCATTGTTCCTGCCTTGACCCAGAACCCCTCACCCCTAAAGCTGCAGAGTTGGGTGACCCCAAAGCCTGCTGAGGCTTTAATTATGCAAAACCTCATCTTGAGTTTTTTAAGCCAAGATCCTAGGAGGTTTTCTGGGAATTTATCGAGGGGACTGTCATTTGAGACAGCTGGCACATGGCCTCTATGTAGAATTGGAATCCTCTCCTTACTCAGAAAACTCAAAGGCCAAATCCTTGGTCCCCTCCCCTCTCCTGGCAGTGACCATGCCCTGGGGAAGTTCCTCCTGTTTAGTACTTTGGACCCAGTTGTGCTGCACCCCCACATCCTGGTTGTTCTGTGCCACCCCATGCTGGGTGGGGGCTGGCCTGTGGCTGCCCGGCCAGTATACACGTGGCCAGCCTGTGACCGTCTCAGGGAACAGCTGTTAAAGGGCCTGCGTCCAGAGCCAGGACATACACGTGTTCACGCGGGGGCGCGGTTGGGTGTGCCCCAGAGCATGTGTGTGTGCATGTACAGGTGGGAAGTGTCCGTGTGCATTTGTGTGAGTGTGTGCAGAGGCTGCTCCCTCCCCCCGCACCCTGTGCCTGCATGAGGGTGACGACGAGACCCTGGGGCTATGTGGGCCTCGGCGTGCACACGTGTGGGGCCTGCAGATGGGGGTCCCCCCCCTCCGTCAGTGTGGTCTTACAACCAGCAGGGAACACAGGGACTCTCGGCTCCACCCTGACGCTCTCCGAGGGGCACTGGAAGAGCCCTTCCCCACCAAACAGACCCAGTGCACCCTGGGAGAATAGCATGATGAGGGGGGACCCCTCCCAGTCCAACCTTCAGCCCCAAATTCCTCCTCTGGGTTGCCGGGGCTGGAAATCTGGGTTCTGGCCTTTGCTGCTAGGACCACCTATGGGACTTTAGGCAAAAGCTCACCTTTGTGAAGTCAAGGAGCCCCTGGGAAAGGTGAGCATGTGTCCACACCGTGCCCAGCTTGGTGCCAGCGTGGTGTGCGTGTTCTGTGTGTCTCCCCACTCACAGCGGAGTCTTCGCTCATCCTCCAGTTCACACGTAACCTTTCCCCACCCCCATACCTCTCATGACACCTGCATTCTGGAGTGGTTGGTTGCTCTCATGCCCATGGGATGCCAGCTCGTGGCTGTAGATGAGAATGCCCGGCTGGGTCCCCGGCCCCTTCCTCCGTCCGCACTGCTGGGCCTCCTCTTACAGGCGCTCCATGAAGTACATGCTCTGCAGCGACAACCATGGCATCAAGCCCCCGACCCCGGAGCAGTACCTGACCCCGCTGCAGCAGAAGGAGGTGTGCATCAGGCACCTGAAGGCCCGGCTAAAGGACACTCAGGACCGGCTCCAGGACCGGTGAGCGGCCAACTGTGGGGACAGTCCGCTGTTCCCCACACTGTAGCAACCAGGTCCGGAGACATCTCGGGAGAAGCAATAACCAGGGCAAGGGGCTCTCCAGAACCTTCGCCCCTCTCGCCTTCACAGAGTGTTCAGCCTTGTCTGAGCCCACTTCCGGAGCCCTCACCCCATCCTCTCCTCAGCCGTCCTCTGTAACTGCTCAGGCAGGAGCAGGCCACACACAGTGGGGTCCTGCCTGGCTTTCCCACAGACAATCCCTGTCAGTTTAGTGGCCGCTCCTGAAGGCCGCTGTTTGTCCCCTGGCTCCTTTATGCACAAGGAGCTGAGCTCGGGGTCTTCTTCTGGTTGACCTGTCTCTGTAGGAGAACCAGCCATTACTTCCTCACAGTTTATCAGTGGAGGAGCTTGGCCCACCAGTTTGGGCCCCAGAAGGCTTCTTCCTCTCCTTCCTGTTTAATACATGACTCAAGATTGTGTGGAATATTTGAAGTGTGGAATATTTTACTGAGCTCCTACCTGGCCCAGGATTCTCTCAAGAGCGGCTCATGAGTCCACGTTAGCTCTCAGTCCCAGGACCAGCAGAGGAGTTCAGCCCTACACCCCCCACGTCCACCTTTCCAAGCTGGTAGCTTCATGTTTTGATCAAGCATTGAGGCCATGTAGATAAAACCATGTATCCTCTTGTCAATTCTTCCGAGGAGCCAGCCTGGTTTCGTTTTTGGGGTGGTGTGGATTAAGGGAGTTAGGGGAGGCATGCTCTGGACCTCATCTGCCGAGCTGGAGTTTCTGGGTTTGTGTCCAGCCATCTTCCTGGTAACACCCAATGTCAGTTGGCCCTTCTCACCAATGCCTTTGTCCCCCAACTTCCTTTTAGGACCAGCCCTGTGGCTCAGAACCGACCATTCTCCAGGCGGTCTTTGGGCAGGGTGCTCTGCTGTCACCCTGAACACTGTGGTCCCTCCTGACACTCTGACAGGAACTGGTGACACAGGCCCTTGATCTGCTGGAATTGAATGTCTGTCTGGTCACACTCCCTATGTATTTTGTGTGATGCCTGTCGTTTCCGCAGTGGCTTAGCTTCTCATCCTTGTGCCTTTGTGCTCGGTGTCTCCACTCCCTGAGAGACATGTCACCATCTTAGCAAACTCCGCCCCTAAAATCCAGTTCCGATGTCATCTCTCTCCTATAACTTTCCATCTTGTTCCTTCCTCTTCACACAGACTGTATGTTGGAGTCTTAGAAGATCAATACATCATATCCTTTCTCCTTATCCTCTCCCCCGACTAACTCCAAACTGAGAACCAGTTAAAGGAAAGACCCAATCAGGGAAATAGATGCTGTTTCAGCTCTGTTACTGATAAAGCGAGTGAGCACGGTGGTTCTTGGGAGAGTCTTGGGTTTGATTCCAGCCAGCGCACTGCTGGCACAGCTACTTGTCAGTGAAAACGCAAGCATTGCTGTGAGGTTGCACAGACTCCTGCCTGAGCTTCCAGACCAAGCTGGACGAGGAAGAAAAGTATGTCATTCGACCCAGTGAAAAGCACAGCGGTCCAGTCTTACTGCACATCAGTGTCCCTTAGTTGGAAATTGACTGGGTGGCAGCTAATCACACTAATAAAGCTCAAGGCGAGGACATTAGCATAGGTGTCTGTGTGATGGAATGCCTTCATCGGTCAGACGTAGATGCTGGCCTGGGAGAGGCAGAAGGTTGGGCGGGAAACCGTAGTTCTCTAACGTCCTCTAAAAAAAAATAAGTAGCAAGGGACCAGCCCACCTGGTTGTGCTCAGCAAGACAAATTCTTCTTCCAAATCCTTTGTCTCAGATCAGAGCAAGGGATGAGGAAGCAAGGAGAAAGATCTGGGGAGTAACGCTGGAGTGAGCTCTACCCTGAGTCAGGAGGGGGCGTGGAGAACAAGGATTCCCCCATCACCTGTCACCCACGTTGGCACTTCTGTCACCAGCACCATAAGCAACTCGGATTCACTGCTGCCGTCACCACGTTGTCCCTGTTGAGTGCCCTATCCCCTTCTAAATGCTACCGTTGACTGACCTTTTTGGCCATTGTAAACTCTGCTTCCCAGTTCTTTGACAAACCATGTGATGAGGCTCCTGGGCCCATTTCCTGGGTTGAATTTCACATCTGACTTTGAAAAGGGCGCGGTGCTTGATCTGGCAGTCACTGTGCTGGGCTCGTAAACTCCATGTTTGACAGCCTTGTTGCCAAGACAGCTGAGTCTTTTACCCATGAACGTGGGCTCGGGGCCGGGCAGCTGTGTGAGGCTGTGCTTGGCAGGGTTGGAGGTGCATTACCTGAGCAGGATCTTGGTCTCAGGAGTGATTCTCCTATTTCAGTGCCTCCCTCAATCACACACTGATTTATTTACCCCTAGGCTTGACAGGCTGCCTTTCTTACTCTCTTCCCCTCTCTTGCCCTCAAACTCCTCTACAACTCAGCAGTCTATAAAAGTCAGAGATTCTGGACAAAAGTGTCAGTGGACAAGACTGTCTGGTCAGTCTGGCTCCTGACTCCGGTCTCAGGAGCAGCCCTGTCTTCTATCCCCGCCTCTCCAGCCTTTCCTCTTGACAGGAGACACATAGATGAGACTTGGTATTATAAATGAAAGCCAGTCACCTTGTTCTCTTCACCCTCTCTAACTCACCTATCAGTCCTTAGCCCAGTGCTTGCAGGAAGATATAAAATCAGCAGCTCCCTCTGCACACACACAGTCAAGTACTGATGTCCCTCTTTAAAGACAAGGCTGTTTACCTCCACATCTAAGAGACCTTGACGAAGTAACACTCAATTTAAAATCTCTTCACAACCTGCGTCAGTAGGAGTCACATCCTTTTCTCTAGAGCAGAGATGTTGTTTAGTTTTTGTTGTTTGATATTAAGACTTAAAACAGCTACATAGTAGGTTTCAGTAGCTCAAGTACATTATGAATCTTCCCTATCTTCTCTTGGCAGCTCTGGTGGCCTAGTAAGTAGAGAGTTGCACTGCCAGCCCAAAGGCAGGCGGTTCAAATCCACTAACTGCGCAGAGGGAGAACGATGGGCAGTCTCATCCCATGTGATTTATGGCCTCTGAAAACCTGCTGGAGGTTCAGCTCTTAGTTGGTTCTTACAAGGACAAAGAGTTTGAGTTTGATTCTTTACTAGATGACGGATCTTGACATCAAAAGCCATCTCCATGGATGGTCTCCTGTTGACAGTACCTCTTCCCCTTCCCAGGAAGCTGCCTCCCATCCTTCACTCATCCCTCCCACAGAAGAGGGGCGAGGGGGACAGGGCTGGTGCCTTAGGAAGAAGGAATGAGGCATTGAGTCCCTCCTTTTGGTCTCTAGTGCTACGTGGCAGTAGCAGGGAGCCCACTGTCCTCTGCGACACTGGCCACTCTTCTTTCTATCTGTCCTCGGTGGCCTTGACGGGCCAGGCAGGCAGTGAGTGTGTGTGAGTGTGTGTTGTCTGTTTGCAGGGACACAGAGATTGATGACCTGAAGACACAGCTGTCACGTATGCAAGAGGACTGGATCGAGGAGGAGTGTCACCGCGTGGAGGCCCAGCTGGCCCTGAAGGAGGCCCGCAAGGAGATCAAGCAACTCAAGCAGGTCATCGACACGGTCAAGAACAACCTCATTGACAAGGACAAGGGGCTGCAGAAGTATTTTGTGGACATCAACATCCAGAACAAGAAGCTGGAGACGCTGCTGCATAGCATGGAGGTCGCCCAGAACGGCACGGCCAAGGACGATGGCACCGGGGAGTCAGCCGGGGGGTCCCCTGCCCGATCCCTGACCCGCAGCTCCACCTACACCAAGCTGAGTGACCCTGCTGTCTGTGGTGACCGTCCACCCGGAGACGCCCCCAGCACCTCTGGGGAGGATGGGGCTGACAGTGGCTTCGCAGCCGGTGATGACACACTGAGCCGGACGGATGCGCTGGAGGCCAGCAGCCTGATGTCATCGGGGGTGGACTGCGGCCCCGAGGAGGCCTCACTGCACAGCTCCTTCAGCCTGGGTCCCCGCTTCCCTGCCAGCAACACCTATGAGAAGCTGCTGTGCGGCCTGGAGGCCGGCGTGCAGGTCAGCTGCATGCACGAGCGTGCCATCCAGACTGATTTTGTGCCGTACCAGCCTGACCTGGACACCATCCTGGAGAAGGTGACCAGCGCCCAGGTCTGTGGGGCGGCCCTCGAGGCTGGGGACAGACACCCAGGACCAGACTCCTGCCCTCCGGGGGCCAGGGACCCCAACGCGGCCGTGGTGGTGACGGTGGGTGACGAGCTTGAGGCCCCAGAGGCCATCACCTGTGGGCCTGTCCCCCACCAGCCCAATGCCAACCCCAACCCGTCGGTGAGTGTGGCGTGCCCAGCGGAGGAGGAAGAGGAGGCGGCTGCAGCCGCTGCACCCGAGAAGGAGCCCAGGAGCTACTGGAGCCGCCACTACCTCGTGGATCTGCTGGCCGTGGTGGTGCCCGCCGTGCCCACGGTGGCCTGGCTCTGCCGCTCCCAGCGACGCCAGGGCCAGCCCATCTACAACATCAGCTCACTGCTGCGGGGCTGCTGCACGGTGGCCTTGCATTCCATCCGCAGGATCAGCTGTCGCTCGCTGAGTCAGCCGGGCCCGAGCGGGGCGGCCGGTGGGTCCCAGCTCTGAGGAGGCCCCGCCCGGCCAGCGGCCCTGGGCCTGACCACTGATTGTAGGGGTGCCCTCCTACCCTTCTCACACAACCCTGGGCATCACCTTATTTATTTCATTTGGGGTTTAGAACTTTTTTTTTCTTTTTTTTCCCCCCCAGAACGTAGATCATGTGTCAGGAGTCCCCAAAATTTAGCCAGGGAGACCACAGGGCAGGGAGTGGGCATGCTGACAGTACCAGCTTCAGAGAGAGGAGGCAGGAGGTTCCCCAGCCCGGCCCTCTGCTCACCTGGCCCTTCAGATGCGCTCACCTGGCCCTTCAGATGCGCTCACCTGCTCAGGAAGTCTCTGGCTGTCTTTGTCTTGGGGGTGCTGGCTGGAATCGCCATGGAGCCCCCTCTGTCTGTCTGTCCTGTTCACCGCTCCAGCCACGCCTTCTCTGCCAGCCGCCCCTGCCCTCAGCCTGGACCGCTGGACCAGTATTATCTTCTGAGAGGGAATGAGCTGCAGCCCACCATGTTGGCAGCTGACCCAAGGATTCAGTGAGGTCCGGACCTGCAGGGCCTAGCGCTCCAGCCCCACCCTAGGCTGCTCCCCATTTTGAGATTCAAAGACATTATCAAGATCATGAGCTGGAGCAGAGATGGGGGACCAGAGAGGGCAGGGGCCGCTGAGTCTGTGTGTTTCTGTTCGTCTCAGGCCTTCTCCATAACCCGTTTTCCTCCCAGCTTCTGGGTGTGTCTGGCCAGCAGCCTGACAAGCCAGGGCTAAGAGGACACACATGCCCAAGCGAGGCCCCAGCTCTAGTCCAGAGGCTCTGCTGGCGCAGGGAGAGGAGGCACGCAGGCACCCGCGGCTTTGAGCCGTCTGAGATGAGCCACTGTCTCGGGGCCCCAGGAGGCCTCAGCTGGTTTGTCTGGCAAGAGGCCACCACTCCCTGAGCTCTGCTTTGCACTATGTTCACTTTGGGACATGGGTCTCTCCATCCCAAGGTTTCTGGCGCCTTCTGGGTGAGGGTTCCTAAATCTTAGGCCTATATGTCTCTGGGAGGGTTCTGACAGGATGACTCACAAGAGAGGATACTGAAGCCATGGTGTCTATCTGGGCCGAAGCAGGGTGCCCTGGGATGTATTCCCCAGGAGGTGGGATGGGCTGGGGCGGGGGGAAGCCATACAGCCCTGCTTGGCCCCCTCCCAAACCCAGTCGACAAGGAAAGATTCTGTCACCACCTGCTTCCCTAGGACCACGTCCTGTTCCTTCAGCAAAATTGCTGGAAATTGAAGTTCCTTTATAAGAAACTCTCCTCTCTGCCCCTATGGATCACTTCCATCTGGTCATCCCACCCTCATTCAGAGACTGTGACCCCCACATTTAGGCTGAGCAAGTGGCACTGTATGTGTCTTACTCCCCCCTCCGGGTCACTCTGCCAAGATTGCTTGCCCTCACCCCTGCGCGCCACCGGGCGTTGCCTGACTCTTGGGCCCTGCCCTGCCCCTAGGTGCCCTCCGCTCCGGAGGTGGGGGGGGGCACCTGCATGCACTGGAATGGGCACCCGCCCAGCCATGGGGCAGCGCACCCCACCTGCCACGCGCTTTGTGCCTCCAAAGCCCCCCTCAGTAAGGGCCTCAGACCAGCCATCCTTCGTGGGGAACTCCTGGGCTGGCTGCGGCTGTCCCGCCGGCCACTGGGGCCATGACCTGGCGGGGACAGCGGGCAAAACCCAATCCAAAGCTGAGCCAGGACTGGCGTTGGCCCAGCCTCCTGTGCCACGGACTCTCATGGAGCTGCATAGTGTCTCGTTAGGAACATTCAAAGCTTTGCCGAGAAAATAAATGTATGACTATATTTGACAACATAAAATCTATATCTTTTTCGCCGCGAGGGAGAAGTCCAGCCGCAAAGCCCTTCTGCTCTTGTCTGTGTCTTACTGTCCTGTGGCCTTCCTCAATGTGACTTGTGTTTGGGTGGATGTGGCCAGAGCCAGCGCCGGGGTCCACTCTGTCCCTGACCAGGAGAAGCCGCTCGCTCATGAAGGACTGGGCCATGCGTGGCCTGAGGCCTGGGAGGAGGCCCTGCCTGCTCTGGTCACCAGGCCCCCCGGGCCCCCAGCCACAGTCCTGGGGGCCTTTCTCTTTTGGGGGCATCTGGTGAGCCCTTAGGGAGGTCTTTCTCATCATTTAGTGCAGCAGGCGGCTTACTGCTATGGCTCTGGAAGAAGCTGGGACCAGCCTGGCCTGGTCTCCCCCAGCCCCACCACGCATGCTTGTCTGTGTGCTTGGTAACCGCATCTATGCAAAGGGGCCCCCCTCACTGCCTGGGCAGCTCAGGGCGGCAGAGGCTGGCCTGCTGGCTCAGGCTTCCAGCCCTGACTATGCAAGGCCCTGGTGTGGGCTTCGGACTGGCTCAGGAGCCAGGCTGGCCCGGTGAGAGTGCTCGCCCTGCAAGGCTCCCCTTTCCTCCTGCCTAGCACCCCTTCCAGGTGGGCTGCAGCCTTTGCTTCTTGCCCTGATTTCTGAAGCAGAAATCTTCGAGGCCTCCGTCCTCCCCTCAGCCTCCAGGCGGAGCTCATTAAGAGACCTGGAGCTGATCCATTGAAGCCAAATGGCTGGAATTGGCTTCTCCTTAGTTCTAGGACTGGGGGCCAGTGTGGCCCCAGCTCAGGCAGGAGTGAGCATCAAGGGCTTGGATGGGCAGACAGCTGCCTCCAGCAGAGGTGACACACTATCTCCCAGGATAAGTCAGCTTTTCACCCAAACACCCTCCCCAGTCGCCACAAGCACTGGGCCCCTGGCAGAACCCTGGAGAGAGGTGAGGCTAGTTACAAGGTCCCAGGGTAAAGACCTTCGAAGGAGGGGGGGTCTCTACCCTGTGACCTGCGATACCCCTCTCTGGCCAAGGTGGGGGCAGCACACGAGTCTCAGTGCACTCTGACATTAGGCGTCCCCAGGGGGACCGGGAAGGGGGGAGGGCGGGAAGGGCCTTCACCCTTGTCTCCACTGTCCATATGTTCACACAGAGTTGTACCTGCAGCAGACAGCTCTGAATTAAAGCATGAAAACACAGCCCAACCGGCGGCCTCGCTTCTTTAGAATGTGTCCTTTCTTCTCTGAGGCGGTGGGGGGCGGGGGATGCAGGTTTGCCTCGTGGTCTTCACAAAGGACAGACCTGACAGGCAGAGATGGTTCCTGTGTCCAGACACGTGCTGACCCCAGCTCTGCCTGGGTCTGCAGCCCCATGCCCCCTGCCCCCAGCTGGTGCAGGGTGGGGTTGTACAAAGGATCCAGACATGCCTGTCAGTCCATGGAGGATTCGACCCACTGGGCACTTAGGACATCACATTTCATCCTCCTCACTGCCCAGTGAGTGGGCTCTTCTATCCATTTTCCAGATGCAGAAGCAACACACCCAGGAAACTGCTCCAAAGTTGTGCTCCCTGGCCAGCCCCACTGCTTCTGCAAGCCCCAAACACGAACATGACCATGACCGCTGTGTCGGGATGCTGGCAGGGCAGTGTCCCACAGTGGCAGAGCTGAGTCACGTGGGCAGGGGAACACACAGAGAGGCCTCGGTCTCACTATTGCTGAAGAGAACTGGCCTTGACATGTCACAGGACCAAGGATGACCGTTGGGAGACCTTATACTCAAACCTTTATTCCAACAGCAGTCGGGAGTTACAACTATACAGTGTGTTAAGGCAAAAAGATATATTCTCCCAAAGAATGTAGCTCTGTTCTCAGTGCGTAGCTGTCGTCTCAGTAGAGGCAAGCGTTCTGAAAGGGGGCTGAGCTGTAAATAACAACTATTCATTTCTTTAACAAGAATCTGCCAGCCCCAGGGTGTCCAGCATCTTAGTGAGCACAGAGGGCTCTGAGGCACCAAGGAAGGGGGGGGTCTCTGTGTGTGCAGGACAAATCCATGCAGGTCTAGGTCCACTCAGCCACGATCAGCCATCTCCACCCTGCCCTCCAGGTACACCAGTCCCTCCCCCAGACAGCAGGAGAAGGGAGGAATGCGAGGCGTTACCCCTCTGCAGCCTCAGACATCTGGGATGGAGTGGTCCATGGTGTGGTGGAGCAGGGTGGGAGACAACCTGGATGTGGAAAGAATGCCAGTGGTCAAAAATGACAGCGTCTTCCCCACCCCCCAACAGGGGCCATGGCGCCTCATTTTCATGGCAATTCCTAAGACTTTGGAATCCCCTCAGACGACTAAGCACAGCACCATGAAGGAGGTGGGGTGAAGAAGCCACTGGCAGCTCTCTGAGTGAGGCATGGTCTGGGGAGGTGGGGAGGGCAGGGGCGGTGAGGGGGTCAGGAAGGTAAGGAGGGGCGGAAAGGTGGGGGGAAGGGAGGGTTAACACATCTTACTTTTTGACCATGTGCTCATAAATGACCGTGGGGATGATGGTCAGGGTGACGACATTCCCAGCCAGGGCCAGGATCTCCGTGGTCTCTTTGTCCTAGAAAGGAGGTAAGTGGTCACCAACGGGGGTGCTTCTGTGACTGCAGGAGCAGGGCCACCTCCAGGGAGGGTCCCCCAGCAGATCTGCAGGTGAGTAAGCAGCCTCTGTGGGACCACGCTCACGCTCACGCTCACGCTCACTTCGGAGGCTAAGTACATGGGGCCCCGCAGGTACGCCGACCCGCTACAAGGCCTCCTGGACGCTGCTGTGATTGTCCTTTCCCCACAGTGTCCGGTGAACTGCAAAAGCCCCCACATGTTCTATCCCACCTCCCTGATCTCAGTCACAGTTGGGTCCTGGTCCCAAAGTACAAAGGGAGACACGAAATACAGTCACCCTCATCTTGTCACCCTGAGCCAGGCCTCGCAGGGGCCTCTTCTGCTTACATCTCAGGGACCAGCCAAAAGAGAAAACCCTGCAAACAGATCATGAAGTGAACCAGCGATTAGGTCTCCAGGCAAAGCATCAAACAGCTAAAGCTGTGGCTGGATGAGCCTTGGGCGTCTTCTCAGACCCTGCTGGCCTTTTACCTTGTTCACAGATACAGCTTGGCGATCTGTGTTCTTATTACTGTGTGTACCACACACAGCAGAGCAACCTGTCTCCGTGTCCCACCTCCAGCCTCTGTGTGTTAGTGACAGCAACCCTTGGTGCTGCTGTGTCAACTTCAACACATGGCGACCTCATGCATGTCAGTGCACAAATCCTCAGGAAACCCCATGGTGCGCTTCTCAGAAGGAGACCATCGGGCCTTGCTTGCCAGGCACCTCTAGGTAGACTTGAACACCTAACCTTTCTGTTAGGTGCCAGAGGCGCCCATGAGTAATATGTATCAAGCATTTGCAATCTCCTCCCATGCAATTAGCTGCCTCTGAAAACCAACGGGAGGGTCAGCTATGGGTCAGTTCTGCCTCCACAGTAAACAACAACAACAATAATACATTTGGCCGGGAGCCCTGGTGGCCTAATGGCAAGAAGCTGTACTGCAAAACCGAAGAGAACTGGTTCGAAGCCACCAGCTGCTCGGTGGGAGAAGGATGGGCAATCTCCTCCTGGAGGCTCAGCTATGGGTGGGTTCTGACTGGATGGTACACAACAATATACATGGCACTGGCCGTGCTTGGCACTGTTCTTAGAGCTGTGGGTACACTGTAATGTCAGAATGGGGAAACTGAGGCTCAGCGGGCCAGCAGCCCGCTCAGGGCGTGATCCTTCCCAGCCCCCAAAGCCCCCACTCTCCCAGCCCCGAGTCCTGGCTGTCTTACCTTGAGCCCAATGACATTTTGCCCGTTGACCTCACACAGATAGTGGTTGGTGAGCAGCCCGTTGCGGGCGGCCGAGCTCCCTTTGACCACCGACACGACCTTCCCTTTCTTGATGACGAAGCCAACGTGGCCCGCGCCGTCCTTGTGCATGGTGACAGTCCGCTGGAACGGCCTACGGGGCAAGACCATGAGCTGGGCCTGGGCGCAGGGCCAGGGTGGTCAGAGGCTGGGTTGGGGGGAGGGCTGTGTGCTCACCTGTCCCTAACCACCATGACGATCTTCTCGGCTGAGGCCTTCTTCACTGCGCGGTGGGCTTTGTCGGTGCTCCAGCCCGCACAGTCACGCCCGTCGATCTGCAGGATCTGGTCGCCGAAGCGCAGCCCCACGAGGGATGCAGGGGTGTTGGCCTGGACGAGCTGCACGAAGACACCCTGGGGGAGAAAGGCCTCGCGTTAGCTCCCGCGGCGCCAGCCCTGACCCCCGTGCATCCTCTGGCCTCATCCTTCCAGTGCTCTGGGAGGGTCTAGCAGGGAGCCAGGACCGCTCCTGGGGCTCTGCAGGGTCCAGGACCCGGCTTTTCGCTGCAAGAACCGGCAGCCACCACTTTGCAGAAAAGGAGCTGCTCCGGGCCGGGCCGGGCCTGGCCGCTAGGAGGCGCTGTGTCGGCCTTCCACACTGGCCGCCGCCCTAACCATTGCGCTGCCCCGCTTCCCACAAAGGCATCTAGCTGTCTCCTCCTTCCACTCTGCGTAAAAGTTAGACATCTGTAACCTGATGGAGCCTTGGGCTTGAGAGAAAGAGGGTCCAGGTTCCCTAAGGTGGGACCCATGGATGGGGCCAGCCCGTGGGTCCCCTGACCGGTCAGTGGATGGCCCGTTCTCTCGCGCCCGCCTTACCTTGTCAATGGCGCGCAAGCGCAGCCCGGTCTTGCCCCGCTCGTCCTTGCACAGGTGGATCTCGCGCACCCCGGGCTTGATCTCCGCACGTCGAACGCCCAGGCTGTTCCCAGACACGGGCGCCACCACCAGGCCTGGCGACGGGCCCAGGGCCACTCTCTGCAGACACCAGTGGAACAAGGTCAGCCTGGGCCCTGAGGGCCTCACGCTGCAGGGATCACGGGAGGTGTAGAGACCCTAGGCACCCCGTTCCCCTCCACCCCTCCCGGGACTCCTACTACCGAAAAGAGACGTGGCTCCTGAGAGCCACTAGGGGGCGGCAAAGTCCACGCCGCTGAACACAGCCAGGGCTGAACCAAGATACACTTGTCATTATGGTTTGTTGTTACTCACAGCGACCCTAAGTACAAGAACTCTAAACGCTGCTCTATCCTGTGCCAATCTCACTGTCTCCAACACACCTACTCCCTTCCCACTACCCCAATCACTGAATTGATGCATCTCATCAAGGGTCTTTTTCTCCTGCGCTATCTTCCTCCACCCTCCCAAACATGATATCTCTCTCCAAGGATTGGTCCCTCCTTGCAACATATCCAAAATATGTCAGACGAAGTTTCAGAATCTTCGATTCCAGGGAGAAGCCTGGCTTCGCCCTGTCCAGGACGAACCTGTTTGTTCTCCTAGCAATGGTATACTCAACACTCTTCTCCAGCACCACAAATCAAAGGCATCAATTCTCCATCATCCCTAGTCACTGTCCAGCTCTCCAATGCATAGCACCTAATTGCGAAGACTACAGCCCAGATCAGGTGCACCTTAGTCTCCAGCCTGATGTTGTTGTTTGTCATATGACATGAAATTTCACTTTGAGCCACGTATGCTCGATAAACAAAAATGTTTGTAGTCACAAAAACCTCATACATGAACATTCATAAAATCGTTCATGGTAATAGACTTTTATTGTTGTTATTTGCCATCGAGTCGCCAGTGACTCATAGCCACCCTATGTGTAACAGCTCTGAAGCCTGCCCTGTCCTGAGCCAGTCTCACAGACACACCCAACCCTATTGCCTGTTACTGTAACAATCCATCTAATTCAGGGTCTTCTATCCTGCTCTGTCTCTCCACCCTTGCAATCGTGATGTCCTCCAACTACTGGTCCCTCCTGGCACGTGCCCAAAGTATGTGAGCCTGAGCTTCAAAGTCCTTGTCTCCAAGGAGAGACCTATTTAGCAGTCCATGATATGTTCAAGACGCTTCTCCAGCACCATAACTCAAATGCAGCAATTCTTTTGTCATCCTTAATCATTGACTAGCTCTCTGATGTATAGCAAGTAATTACAAAGACCATGGCCTGGATCAGGCACACCTTGGTCTCTAAACTGACACTGTTGCTTTTCAGGACTCTGGAGAGATCCCTGACAGGAGTTTTTCCCAGTGCAATTCATCTTTTGACTTCCTGACTGCTGGTGCCAAGAGTGTTGACTGTAGAGCCAAGCAAAATGTAATTGTTAACAACCACAATCTTTTCTCCATCAGTCATGGTGCTGCCAATTGGCCCCGTGGTGAGAATCTTTGTCTTCTTGATGTTGAGCTTCAATCCATAATAGACTAAAAACAGGTATAACATTCTTCAATTGGTTACACCAACTAGAGGACATCCATACGGTAAAGCACCACTTGCCATAAAAAGGAATGAACTATCACGACATAACAACTCAAGCAGGTGTGCAGGACATTAAGAGTTGCATAGTATATCATTTAACTTATATGCTATTATATAACAAAATTATAGAGATACGTACAAGATTAATCTGTCAGACTTTAAGGGTGTTGGATGAGTATGACCATGAAATGGTGACGTGAAGAAGCCTATGAATTGATAGGAAAGTTCTGTATCTTGTTATACAAATTGTATACACATACATCATACCAATTACAATTCCTGAGTTTGATATTATACTATCATTCCCTCCCATTGTCATTGAGTCAAAACCAGCTTATAGCTGAGTGTTCACTGAGTTTCCAAGGCTGTAAATAACATCTTTCTCCCTTGTAGCTGCTGGTGGATTCTCACCTTTGAAGTAGCAGCACAACTCCTTAGAGACTATGTATGCCAACAGAGCTTCCTAAATTATACTATGTTGTTGTGTACCATAGAGTCGGAACTGACCCATAGCAGACTCTTGAGGGGGTTTTCAGAGGCAGTTAATTGACAGGAAGAGATTGCCCATCCTTCTTCCGTGAAACAACTGGTGGCCTTAAACAGCATGCCTTTGGGATTGCAACACAGCTTCTTGCCATTAGGCCACCAGAGCTCCCTATTTTTATATTATACTATAAATTATACTATAGTTAATAAAAATATAAACATTGGAGGAAACCACGTGAATGTACAAGTACTTGTTATAGATTGAATTATGTCCCCTCCAAAACATGTATTCATTTGATCTGGTCATGATTTCCCATATTGTGTGGCTGTCCTCTATTTTGTGATCTGATGTAATTGTGCTGTTTGTTGTATTGACATAGTGAGCTCAAGATGCAGCCTAACCATATGGACTGTGTCCAGCCTCATTGACATAACCACTTGTAATGCTGTCTCATTAACATCATGTTGTTGTTATGTACCACTGAGTTAACTACGACTCATAGCGACCCTATGAATAATAGCTCTGAACCTTGCCCTATCCTGAGTCAACCTCACTGTCTCTGAGCCATCTGACCCCATCACCACATCATTGTGTAAGTCCATCTCATCCAGGGTTTTTCTCTCTTGCACTGACCTTCTACCTTTTCAGGCATGACGTACTTCTCCAATGTTAGCCCCTCCTGGCAACATGACCAAAGTATGTGATATGGAGTTTCAAATCCTTGCCTCCAAGGAGCAACCTGGTTCCATACTACTTAGGACAGATCTATTTGTTCTCTTCGAAGTCCATTGTTTGTTTATTACTGTTCTCCAGAACCACAACTCCGATGCATCAATTCTCTGTCATCCTTAGTCATTATCCAGTTCTCAGATGCATAGTAATTGAAAAGACCATGACTTATGTTAGGCACACCTTATTCTCTAGACTGACATCATTGCTCTTTAGCACTCTGGAAACGTCCTTGGAAGCAGATTTTTCCAATGCAAGTTGTCTTTTTATTTCCTGACAACTGATGCCAAGGGTGTTGATTGTGGATCCAAGCATGATGAAATTATGAACAACTTCATCTTTTCTCTATAATGCTGCCTATTGGCTTGGCGGTGGGGATTTTTGCTTTCTTGATGTTGAGATGCAATCCATATTAAAGCTGCAGTCCTTGATCTTCTGTAGGAAATGTTTCAAGTCCTTCTCAGTTTCAGCAAGCAAGGTTGTGTCACCTGCATAACACATGTTCTTAAGTCTCCAATCCTGATGCCACATTCTTCTTCATAAAGTCCAGCCTCTTGAATGGTCTGTTCAGCATGTAAATTGAAAAATATGGAAAAAGGATACATCCCTGATGCAGCCTCTCTTGATTTTTAACCATGCAGTGACCCCTTGCTTTGTTCAGACAATAGCTTCTTGGTCTAGATATAGGTTTTGCTTTAGCACAAATAAGTGTTCTGTGATTCCCATTTTTCTCAATGTTAGCCACAGTTTGTTGTGATCCACACAATCAAATGCCTTTGCATAGCTGACTAAACACAAATAGACATCCTTCTGGTACTCTCTGCTTTCAGCCAAGATTGACCTGACATCAGCAATGATATCCCTGGTACCATAGCCCCTTCTAAAACCTAGCTTGTATTTCTGTCAGTTCTCCACCAATGTACTGTTCAAGTCATTTTTTTTATGACCTCCAGCAAGATTTGCTTGCATGTAATATTAACATCATAGAGGTTAGGATTTATAACACATAGGGTAATTACAGCAGATTAAAAAAAAAATAGAATTACAGAATACTGAGAGTTAAAAAACAGGACGTAGGGTCACAGAGCCAAGAGCATCTCTCTGAACAAATCAGAGGGAGTAAGACTAGCACAGCTCCTCATTGCCCCAGAGCAGAAAGCAGATAAAGACCCACAGAGCCACAACAACAGCAAGATAATTGTTTCTTCATTGTTGATTCACAGACTCACAGTTGTGGTACTGAGAATAGGTTCATTAGGGAAGTCAGTTGGAGAATGGAGGAGGCTAAGAATACCATCCTATACAAGTACAGGTTTTAGCCCAAGTTCCAAGGCACAATTCCCCAGTTAGTTCAGGCTCCGGTTTCAGTTCAACAGTCAAATTCAAATCATCCAGCAAGGTTTGCCTCAGAGCAATTTTAAGTCAGATTCTTCTTCAAGCAAAAAAGATTTAACTATGGCCTTTATCTCAGAGCTCCTCTGTTTACACCTTATCACAGTTTCTCCATCACAATGCCACAGTCTCTTCATTACCAGGGCCTCGCTCTCACCAAGGTCTTGCTCAAGTCTCCCTCACGTCTTGCCAGCACAAATCTCTGCTGCCCGGTATGGGAAGCACTATTTTTCTTATCCTATTCCCACAACTGTTGATCATTTGCAAGACCATGAGTCTGCAGTTAAGATAGTTGGAGACCAGAGGAGCTACCTGTAATGGCCTAAAAAAAAAAAAAAGAAAAGAAAAGAAAGAAAGAAAGCCAACTTCTAGTCTACCACCACAAAGTCCTAGCCAAGTCAACAAATCTTTTGGGAGGACACACTTCAATCTATGATAACTGTGAAGGAATAAATTTGTTTGTTAAAGTCATTCACTTATGATATTTGCTATATTAGCATCAGATAACTAGGACAGTATTTCTCTGCATTATCTGAACAACTTCCTATGAATCTGCAACTATTTCAAGTTAAAAGCTAGAAATAAATTAGATCAATTAAAAAATCTTAATTATAAAAATTCAGCCCCTGTAACGATGTGAGTCAGGAGAAGCCTCCAGCCTGACACTTGATCCATGATTTGGAACCTGTCAGCTCCCACAACTGCACAAACCATTTCCTTGAGGAAAAGATATACATAGTTCACTGGATTTGCTTCACTAGAGAACCCAGGCTAAGACATTCACACACAATGAAGAATATAACCAGTGTCACTGACAAGTTTGTGTAGAAATTATCAAATAGAACCTAAACTCCTGCATAAACCCTTACTAAAAACATAGTAAAACCTTATTTTTAAAAAGAAAATAAAGATAGCCACTGAATGCTGATAAGAAAGGAAATCAAGCACAAAAGAAAAGGAAGTTTATTTCCATGGCAGAACCAAGAAGGAAGACGAGAGAGGGCAGCAAGAGAAAATACGTACATTGTCACCTTGTGTGATCTGAGGCAGGTTCTGCTGAACTTCTTGGCTGGAGAGGGAGAGGCCCATATAGCTCCCCAGTTCTGCCAGATTGGGATACAAAACTGATGAAGGAAAGAAGAAAAGGGTTACTCTCAGCATAGGCCACCTGGAGCTCTGGTTCACTTTTGGCCTCATTTTTATTACAGAATACCAGTACCAGTCAAATCAACTGTGACTAGTGGCAAGCTTGTGTGTATCAGCATACAACTGTCCTCCGTGGGCTTTTCAGTGGCTGCCTTTTCAGAAGGGCATTACTAAGTCTTTTTTCCTCTGGGCAGACTCAAAACTCCAAACAGAGCATGAAGGTGGATGGTACCACCCTAGGATACCTCACTAAAACATCAGGCTTATGCATACCCATGTTTACTGCTGTGCTATTCACAATATCAAAGAAATGGAAACAACCTAAGTGCACAGAATAAACACATAGATAGAAAAACCATGGTAAATTCGCACAATGGAATATTATGCAGCACTGAAAAACCATAAACTCATAAAACATTACACAACATGAGGGAGCCTGGAGAACATTCAGCAGAGATCACCTTGGCTGTCAGTGGAGGCTGGTGGGCAGGAACTGGGAGGCTGGGCACCCTCCTCTCACCACAGTGAGTCCTCAGCCGTGGATTCTCTCATTGCTTTGGGACTTCCAGGCTTCCCTAAAAGGACTGGGGTCTCAGCCATGAGTGTCCCACCCGGATTACCCACCTGGAGGCTGGGGGATGGTCGCCTCTTCAACCGGCAGGGCAGGCATCATGGGCGCAGCTCGGGCCTGGGCCTGGAGAGGGTTGGGGAGTGTTGGTCAACTGTGGTCAGACTCTGGGACCCCTCAAGCCTGGACTCCCTGAGGCCAAGATCTTGGCATCATATATGTTGATGGGCCCCAGGGAGGGGCCCCACACCCCCTCCAGGCTGTGTGTAACCTGTGGCCTCGGCAGATGGCCATTCTTCTAGAGTCCAGGACTCATCAGATGTCATAACCAGCCTACTGCCCGGGGGCATCAAAACCTGGAGAACTACCTCCCAACCAAGCTCCCTACTGACAAGTCCCAAATTGTCAGAGCCCACTCAGCCCAAAAAGTGGTGGGATGGAGGGAAGAAGGGGCTTCTGGTGGCTGATCAGGTCTGACCCCAACCCCATGCTCAAAAGGCCTGCCCTGGAGTGGGAGGGTCTAGCTGCGCTGAGCCATGGGAGCGAGAGTGAGAGGGAGAGAAGTCCTGGTCCTGCTGTGATCCCCATCTTTGCCTCAGACACCTGGGTCCACCTACCCTGAGGCCAAGGGGGCTCCATTTTCAGTAGTGGGTCCTACAATGGGACCCTTCCAAGGCAGGCATCTGCTTTCCCTCCCAGAGACCCCCCTGGGTTTCCGAGAGCACCCCCACTGGGAGCTGAGAATAATAGTGTGGGCTTAGGAGCACCCATACCTGAATGGTCTGGTCGACTTTCAGGTCCTCCAGAGAGGGGTACAGCGTGGACATGGTTGCTCCTTAGGCCCCTGTGGAGACACAAAGTGAGGAGGGGTGTGAGGAAGTGACCCACAACCTCTTTAGAAGCAAGGACGGTGGAACTCTGACCCGCATGCTCAGGTCATATTGTCAGGAGGGGTCTGTCCCTGGGAAAAGACATGCTGGGAAAGATGGTCAGAGAGAGGAAGGTCTCCAACAGGATAGACTGACACAACGACAGCAGCAACGGGTCTGAGCACGTTGGAGATTGTGAAGATGACCCAAAGTGCAGATCTGTTGTTCAGAGAGTTGCTGTGAGTCATAGTTGACTTGACTGCACACAACAACAACAACAACAAGAATCACCTCTGCATGTCCCAGGAGAGCCACGAGGGGCAAGGCACATGGAGAGATTTCTCAAGAGAGTCCAGAATGAGATGTTAGAGAGAAGTCATTTATCTTTCTGGATTCTTCCTCATCTACTCACTAATCATGGGCTCGCTCACTCCTCAGGCCTTTGGTCTCCCTGGAAGAATGTCCTTCCCCAACCCTTGTCATCCTTCAGGCCCCCAAACAGGGTTCCCCTGGCCCTAAGGTTACTGTCCTCCCACTGAGAGTCCTGCCCTCTGGGACAGACTCAGGGTCAGCTATCCCACGGGGCTGCTCAGTCATCCTCAGATTGCAATTCCCTGGGGACAAGTGTAGCCCATTCACCCCATTCACCCTAGTGGGCTCCCAGTCCCCAGCCCAGGCCCACCTGTGACAAGCCCACTCAATGAAGAAATGACAGCTGTAGGCACATGGAGCTGAGTGGCCAAGAACACAAGGGGCTGTGTCAGGGGTGATGTGCCCCTCCAAGGTCCAGATCACTGGGCAGCTCCCAAGTGGCCCACAGGGACTGTGGACACTCTCATCGATCCAATGATGGATGCCCTGCCACTTTCTGTCCCCTTTGCTGAGGCATCACGCTTGTCCTTGTTCCCACATCACACTTTCTCAGCCAATCCACTACTGTCAAACTGCTTTAGACGCACAGCGATCCTTCATTATGTTTCTGAGCCTGTGAAACTTTATAGGAGGGGACTGCTCATCTTCCTCCTGGAAGCAGCTGATGGATTTGAAAGATCGACCTTTTGGTTAGTAGCGCAACACATTATACACCACACCACCTGTCATCAAGTGCCATCTCTCTCCGGATAAGCACTGTGCAGACCTTCTCATCTCCCTGGCCCTCCCAACCACCACAGCGTCCTCTTCAAGGACACTCTGTCCCCTCCCGCTGTTCTCCAGACAGCAGCCATTGGCCGTATCTGCACAAGGCAGATATCTGCTTGAAGTCCCCCTCAACTTCCCGTTTCCTTCAGCATCCAGTCTCAACTCCCTGAACGTGGCCCACTAGGCCTCTACAAAGAATCCACCATGGAGCAGAACTGGTGGCTCAAGGGTCAGATGCAAGGGTCTTCACAAAGTACCTTAAAATGTTCATTTTAGAGTCTCAAGGCAAAACATAAGGCACTACATGGAACAATCCGGATTTTCTGCTCCTGAAACTTTCAGACACTTTAGCAACCTTGGACTGCAACTGAGTGGCAGCAGACTGTGTAGATCATAATAAAATTAGATGAGGATCATTGAGAAGGATGAGAATTCCACAGCATTTAATTGTGCTCCCAAGAAACCTGTGCATAGACCAAGAACTTCTTTGAACAGACAAGAGAACGCAGCATGGTTTAAAACTGGACAGGTATGCATGAGGCGGTATGCTTTCTTCACACCTACACAATCTGTATGCTGTGCAAATCATTCGAGAAGCTGGACTATATGAAGATGAATGTGGTGCATCAGGATTGGAGGAAGACCCATCAACAACCTGCATTATTCAGATGACACAACCTTGCTTGCAGAGAGTGAGGACTTGAAGCCCTTACTGCAGAAGATTAAAGACTACACACGACCTTAAATAGGAAGAAAACAGAAAATCCTCCCCACTGGACCAATAAACAATAGCTTGAGAAAAACTCAAAACTCATTGCTGTCGAGTCAGAACCGAGAGCTGGCCCTCCACTGGGTTTCCGTGGCTGTGTCTCGCACAAGGGCATAAATCACGCATGACTGCGCTCAGCCTTGGCCGAGCAGCCTCCACCTCTTACAGGGGGCTGCTCGCACTTCCCCAAGTCCCCATCCAGCTCCTGTTGGATTTCACTGTTCGGCTCCTGGAAGCTGCCAGCTCCAGATCTTTGCCCTGATCTGGCCTTAGGGACAGAAATGGCCATTGTTTCACAAAGACAGGGATTGCTTGGGTGAAGGGGCAGCTTCTGCTTCTGCTTCTGCCCACCTTACCCCGCTTGGGGGAGAAGCTGCTCTGGCAGAGCCTTCCAGTAAGCACACTGGAGGTCTTTATCTTAGACCCGTCATCAGCAGTTTGCTTCTGTCAAGTGTGCCCTGCCACCAGGACCAAGCACAGACGGCAGACGTAAAAGTTATCTTTTTAGCATCTGTTCTCCAGGACAGCGGAGAATGTGAGATGCACTCCCAATGTCAGGCACGCACATAGGCCTTCCACCCCAGTCACCTCTTGTGGGTCCTGATTTTTGTTAGTGACGCTCTGGAGGGGGTCAGGAAGCAGGTGTTCCCCTGCCTTCTAGCAGTTAGCATATAGTGGAGACCATCTTCCCACCTGCAAACATTCTTCATGAGGACCATTCACTCACAGCCTTTACTTAACGATGTGTACTGGACCCTGGACTCTGGACCCGGGGCCTGCCTTAGTCAGGCTGGCCCCTCTACTCGGCACACCAGCAAGAATTCTCTCCCTTTCCCCCCCTTTTTATATTGATCTGAAAGTTTACAACGCAAATGGCTATTTCTATACAACCATTCATACATATATTGTTTTATAACATTAGTTACAATACCTACAATGTGATAGCATTTCCCCCACTTCCTCCCTGGCCTTCTCACTTCTGTTAATCTTTCCATCCTACCCCTTCCTGATTTCAAGGCTTTATCCTAGGGTAAATGCTGCTCTTTTGACCATTCTAAGGATTTTGTGCCTGGATTTACTGGTCATCTCATGGGCCTGTCTAACTTTTGAACAAAAATTGAGCCACAACAGCCCTAAACCCTGCTCGATCATGTGCCAGTTGCATTGTTCCTGGCACACGCACCCCAATTACCCCAGTCACTGAATCAATCCACCTCATAGAGGGTCTTCCTCTCCTGTGCTGTCCCTCCACCCTCCCAAGTATGACGTCCCTCTCCAAGGATTGGTCCCTCCTTACAACATGTCCAAAACGTGTCAAGTGAACCTTCAAAATCCTTGCCTCAAAGGAGCAGCCTGGTTTAACCCTCTCTAGGTTAAACACGTTCATTTTCTTAGCATCACCTGGTATGTTCAATGCTCTTCTCCAACATCACAGCTCAAATGCATCAATTCTCTATCATCCCTAGTCATCGTCCAGCTCTCTGACGGATAGCAAGTAATTGCAAAGACCATACCCTGTATCAGGCACACCTTAGTCTCCAGAGTGACATCACTGCTCTTTATTACTTTTGAGCAGTCCCTAACAGCAGACTTTACCATCATAACATGTCTTTTAATTTCCTGGCTGCTGGTGCCAAGAGTGTTGATTGTGGAGCCAAGCAAACTAAAGTGTTAACAATCTCAATCTCTTCACCATCTATCCTGATGCTGCCAATTGGCCTAGTAGTGAGAATCTTTGTTTTCTTGATGTTGAGCTTCAATCTATATTGAAGGCTGCAGTTCTTGACCCTCTGCAGCAGCAAACGCTTCAGGTCCTCCTCAGTTGCTGCAAGCAGGGTTGTGTCATCTGCATAACACAGGTTGTTGGTGAGTCTTCCTCCAATCCTGATACCACACTCCTCATACAGCCCAGCCTTCCAGATAATCTGTTCTGTATATAGATTGAAAAGGTATGGAGACAGTACACATCCCTGGCGTACGCCTTTCCCAATTTTGAACCATACAGTGTTCCATTGCTCTGTTCTGATGACTGCCTCATTGTCCAAGCATAGGTTTCGCATTAGTATGATCAAGTGTTCTGGGATTCCCATTCTTCTCAGAGTCAGCCATAGTTTGTTATGATCCACACAGTCAAATGTCTTTGCATAGTCAATGAAATACAGATAGACTTTACTCTGGTATTCCCTGCTTTCAGCCAAGATCCATCTAACATCAGCTACAATATCCCTAGTACTATGATCCCTTCTAAACCTCTGGAGAAGCTCAATATCAGCTATGAAAACTAGGCCAGGTGCTGATTGTGGAACAGACCACCAACTCATATGCAAGTTCAAGCTGAAGTTAAGGAAAATTAAATCAAATACATGGGAACCAAAATATGACCTTGAGTCTTATCCCACCTGAATTTCAAAACCATCTCATCAACAGGTTTGAGGTCTTGAACACCAGTAAGCAAAGACCAGATGAGTTGTGGGAGGATATCAAGAATATCATCCGGGAAGAGTGCACAAGGGCATTACACAGACAGAGGAGGAAGAAAAGATCAAAATGGATGTCAGAAGAGACTCTGAATATTGCACTAGAGCTCCAAGAAGCCAAAGCAGAGGGGGAAATTCAAGATATAAAAGAGCTGAACAGAAGATTTCAAAAAGCAACATGGGAAGACAAAGTAAAATATTACAGTGAAATGTGTAAGGAGCTGGAGTCAGAAAATCAAAAGGGCTGAACTCACTCAGCATTTCTTAAACTCAAGGAACTGAAGAACAAAGTCAAACCTCAAGTTGCAATACTTAAGGATGTTTTGTGCAGAATATTAAATAATGCAGGAAGTATTAAAAGAAGATGGGGGGAAAGTATACAGAGTCATTGTACCAAAAGGAGTTGGCAGACACAGAAGAATTTCATGAGACAACATATAAGCAAGAGCCTATGGTGATGAAGGAAGAAGTTCAAGCTACTTTGAAAGAATTGGCAAAAAATAAGGATAGTATATTGTATACCAATTGATGTATTTCAACTAACAGATGCTTCCTAGATGTGCTCACCAAGT